CCTGACTTTCCTGACAACCTAATACTTCGGTGTAGTATACTGTGCCATAACCTATTTTGCTGGTTTACATGCATTTGCATATTTATTAATCCTTTTTACCTGAGGTTCTCATTTCCAACCCCCAACTCTCACATAGTCTCTAGTATTTACCTTTCTACTTCTATACCTTCAAATCTGTCACTTTCTGCCATTGAGTGTAGACATTTGGTATATATTAAGTAAGTACATATAGTGTTTGTCTTTCGTATTATGACTTATTTCACTTAGCATTAAGTCTTCTAGATTCATTCACTTTGTGTCAAATGACAGGATCTCATTGTTCTTTATGGCCAAGTAGTATTTCATCGTATGTGCTACATTCTCTTAATCCAGTCGTCAGGTTTGGTGCACTTAGGTTGATTCTGTGTCATAGTTACACAATGTGATTTTTAAGCATCAGTTTTACTACCAAGGACTAGATCAAAACCCCTTTTGTGAATGTGTCTCCTATTCAAATGGATCTTACCATCACCTGGTGTTTGATCACTTGATTTATTGTTCATATCTCCATACTTCATTTGCTTGCTGGTCGCATAATCACTTTGGGCTAGAATAATGTATTATATAGATTATTGTTAAACTTTAAAATAATAATACATAAAATGGCAAAATATTTTTTGTTACATTTGTTTTTATAACATTAATTTACTCCTTCCTTAATAATTAATTTTCTGATAGTAGTTATCTATATTATTCAATTATAATAAGTGAATAAGATGAAAAAACAGAGAAAAAGGCCAAGATGCATAGGTTTAATTTATTGCCCAAATGCCTAGCAATATAACCTAAAAGGGAATAAGCTGAAGATTCTTTAGGAATGGTCAGTTGAATAAACTCAGGATCTTAATATTTTTTTCTAGAGAGAGATTTTTGCAATAGGGCACTTGTGCACACTAGAGAGACAGAGAGACAGGGAGACAGAAAGCAAGAAATCACCTCCTCCCCCAGGGGGGATGGCCAGGTCACAATTCCTTCTCCTCCATTCACCTCTCAGGATTTTAGGCACACACACATCCAACATGAGGTTTATGCCACCAGGTCTGGGATTTGAACTGCAGTCAACTATGTGGAAGTCCAGAGACATAAGTCCAGGGCACATCTCCATCTCTTGGTCCCAGGGGATCTCAAATTTTTAAGAAGAATTTCAACTAGAATTTCTACTTAGCAGAAGAAAAGGTAATGCAAAATAAAAATAAACATCCTTTAAAAAAAATAAATAGAGGGACCAGCAGTTGGCATAATGGCTATGTCACTGGACTCCCCCTGTAGTCGACCGCAATTCAAGTCCCAGACCTGCTGGCTTAATCTCACACTGGGCGCATGTGCGTGCATGCCCAAGATCCTGAAAGGAGAGTGGAGGAGAAGGGATTGCGGTGTAGCCATCCTCCCCGGGGGCTGATTTCTCACTTTCTGTCTCTCTCTGTCTTTCTGGTGAGCGCATGCACCCTATAGCAAAAAACTCTCAAAAAAAAAAAAAAAATAGAAAAGGAACGATATACAAAAAATGAAGGAAAATATCCACAATAAGATTTTTTAAATTATTAGGATAAATTAAATAAATTGAATAGTAGTATACATGAAAATGAGTAAATTTTATTATTAATTTATTTATGCTCCGTAGACATGATCTAAGAATTGTATTACAGTCCAATTCACTTATTCTCAATAAAGGCCTTCCCCAAACAATTGTTTTGTTGTTGTTGTTTACCATTTACAGTGCTTAATTCATTTGGGGAATTTAACTTTTTTAAAATGCGAAAGCATATTTAAATGCAAGGTAGCTTCTACTATCTTTTAGAGAATTATAGCAACTCTGTAATACTTCCCGGTTGTTCCCAGGAAGGTTGTTAAGAGAAATCTGATTTCAATATACATACAGCGCCTACTGAAGTCCTAGTTTCTAGAGATAAAGCCTCACCAAAATAAATAAAGGGTTCGTATTTTTCAGTCAGTTCTTTTCATGCTAAACCACCTCTCTTGATTGTTGGAGATTTTCAGTGATATCTTTCTTGGTATCATGATAGCTTCATGGACTCAGTCTTCTCATGACCCTATACTCCCTGTCTTCATTTCTCCAACTGGCAGGTGCAGGGTAAAACCAGAACTTAATATTCAGTTACCAAAAGGCTGCAGGCAACCTACTCATTTCAACTTTTCTTCTTCCCCAAACCACAATAACAAGAAGTACTGGGCCCACATTAAACCCACTGTTTCCCTCTCTTTAGTCCTCCCTTTGGGATCTTATGTTCTCTCTTACTAGGAACAAATCTTGAACTTATTTTTAAAAAACAGAAATAAAAGGACCTTATGGTCCACAAAGAAATCTCAATGTTGCGATATATTTAGCTCAGTTGTTCTATCTGGTGGACCACAGCTCTCTGGAGAGACTTTGAATTATTACAAGGAATTTCCCAGTCAAACTGAGGTGGTGGCATTCTTTCTGAATATTTTGAAATCGGGAAAGTGAACTCAACCATCAGTACACCTCTAATAGGACCAGCAGATGACATAATGGTTTTATGTTGCTGGTTCGAGTCCCAGACCCAACAACTTAAAACTCATGCTGGGCAGGTGTGTGTGCATACCCAAGATCGCAAGAGGAAAATGGAGGAGAAGGGATTGCAGCACGGCCATTCCCCCAAGGGGTAGTTTCTTCCTGTCTATCTCTCTATTTCTCTTTGTCTCTCTGGCTAGTGCATGCTCCCTATTGCAAAAAACTCTTTAAAAAAAAATACAGTGTTTTTATTACTAATGTGCCACTGACAACCTTGAGCTATACCATACTCAGCACTACCTCTACTCTAAAGCCAGCCTTATTCTCTAACTTCTCCTATATTTGAGTCTCACCTCTTTCTATTCAATTCAATTCCATAGTAATTCATTTTTAAGCATACATCTCATTCTCAAGGCTTAAATATAGTGTATCTCATGCAGAATAACAGTGTTTGTTGTAAATATTTTGGTAATATTATTAAAGTTCCTTCATGAAGCTTCAAAGTCACAAATTTATTTTCATGCTGGAAAATGAATCATACTGGTTTTATTGA